GAGTATTAGTTGCACACGTAATACTGATGTGGGGAACGTGACATGGCACCACGTAAGTCTAATAAGACCTCGCCCGCCAAGCAGTGACGTCGCCAACGCCAAGTCAGTTAAATAAGGTGCAAAAGGGCAGTAGCAAATGTGGGCTATGAGGATCTCCAAGTGAAAGGAAAGTCGATCCTTGGAGATGCCCATATAGACACGTGGCGAAACCCCAGTAATGCCCTTAATAATTGATAACTAATCCAATATTCACTTTCGTAGTAGAAGACAAACACTTTTGGTTCCTTCTTTTCAGAATCTCGGGACCTTCCCTATAAATAAAGATCTTTCCCATAACGAAGGGGAATCATCCAGTCGTTGATTAACCCTATCATTGGATCCCCTGCGGAGCCGTGTCTTCACCTTCTTCACCCCAACCTTCTTTTGACTCCTCAGCCCCGGGTCTTCCTCTATCTTTCAAGGAGACCACCACCCTTGGCCTAGCCACCACCTTACTCACAATTGGTATTAAGCTTGGGGACTTTAAGAATAGAGGATAAGACAAGTGTGTCAAAGGCCTTGATATCTCCTTTGCCAAAGATGGGAGCAAGAGACCCATCAACAAGAGATATCTTCTCTCTACCAGAGAGGAGCTAATAGGAACAAAAGAGGTTAGACAAATTGGTCATATGGTCTAATGCACCAGAATCAATAATCCAAGGGATTTTATGATTACCTAAAACAAAAGCACGAGTACTTGAGTGAGCAAATGCAGATGATGAAGTGTTGCCAGAAGGGTAGGATGCTAATTACAGTGATTTCCAAGTGATTCAGTAACCTCCCATACTTCTTAAAATTGTTGTTATTGTTGTTACTGTTGTTATTCCAAAACTTGTCCGAGAGAAGATCAGGATGGAGTTTCCAACAAGTATCCTTAGTATACCTTGGTTTCTTGCAGTATTCACATATCACTTCTTTCTTCTCGGTCAGACCTTTCGGCTTTATTCCAACATATGCAAAATGTTTTATAGGTGGGCTCTGTAACTGCACCAGTCACCTACTCTCTTCATTGCTTACCATAGCATATGCTTGAGCAAGAGTGACCTCATCCTTCGCCATAATATTCTGTCTAGTAATGTCAAACTCAGGGTTGAGTCCTGTAAGAAACTCAAACACCCTGTTTCGTTCCACCAGTTTCCTAAAAGTCTCTGCATCATTAGTACTCTTCCAAACAACTGTCTCCACAACATCAATTTCCTACCATAGTGATTTCAGCATGGAATAGTAGATCGCTACACTCTTCTCCCCCTACCTCAGATTTTTCACATCACTTTTCAGCTTATAGACTCTTGCCACATTCAACTTCTATGAACATGTTTCCGTAACACTGTCCCAAATTTCCTTGGCCGAAGACATCAAAAGATAATGTTAACTTATATGGGGCTGCATGGAGTTAACCAACCATCCAATAATAGTGTAATTCTCCTGCATCCATTTCTCATATGCAGGGTCTGTCTCTGCGGGTTTCACCTTACTGCCTGTGAGATATCCCAATTTACCTCTACTACAGACATGAATCCGTATAGATTGTGCCCAAGCTAGATAATTGGTGCCATCTAGCTTGATTACGGTCACTCCAGTCAAAAAGGAATCTACCAGGCCAACCTCATATACCAACATCTGCTTCGATTCACTTTCGGAATGCTCCATTGATCAAACGAAAATCAGAAAACCAGTTTTTCAATCTATATAAACTTAATTGAGGTCAATACAGTACCTAGAGACTTGAAACTAGGGTTTCACTGCATCCGACTATCGGGGAGGAAGAGATAAGAGGTAGCCACTCCTACCAGAGCTTCCAAACCACCTACAAGTCTCATCCGCACACTTCTAGAGATTAAACTACACCTCCCAAGTCCTGAGCGTCACACCCTTCTCCTTGACCTGTAACTTGAAAGCTCTCTAGTCAGCTAGGGTTTTGGGCAGAAAATTACAGCTCCACTTCTTGGCAGTTTTCAGCCAGATTCTAATTCTCCAAACCCTCTACCAACTAGGCAAAAATATTCTCTGATCTATCAGGAACTTATCTCTCCATACACACTCCTAATCGAAGGGCATATGGGAAAAGAGAAAAAAAAGGGAAAACCTGCTCTGATACCAAGAAGTAAATCTGATAAAACTTGATTAAAGAAGTAAAAAGTGAGAAAGGAAGAAGAAAACAGCAGAATAGAAGAAGGGGATGGAGAAGAAGAAGAGAAAGAAGAAGAGGGTTCGATTATCACCTCTCTCCCCTCACTAATCCTTTTATTAATCTTCACTAATGTGGTTAATTACAAATCAGCCCTTAAGTGGGGCGTCCAGCTAAGCATAAACTTAAAATAAGTTAACAGGCCCATTAGCATACAAAATAAATAACCTACTACTGAAACATAAAATAGACACTAGGGCCCATTCGGCCTAGTCTCTCTACACTATTAAAAAAAGACTAATTTCATTGGTCCATGGAGGCCCAGCAAGCTTTTGAAAAATTGAAGGCAGCAGTTACAACACCACCTATCTTAGCCCTCCCAGATTTTCCCAAAACATTTGTAGTGGAATGTGATGCTTCTAGAGGAGATTTAGGGGCAGTTCTCATGCAAGAAGGCCATCCCGTTGCGTATTTCAGCAAGGCACTATCAGGACAGGCCCTAGCAAAACCCACGTATGAAAAGGAGCTCATTGCCCTTGTGATAGCAGTACGGAAATGGAGGACATACCTGATTGGGCAATGTTTCATCATCTGCACTGATCACAAAAGCCTCAAGGATCTCCTAGAGCAGCAAATACACACTGAAGAGCAACAGTGATGGGCCCACAAACTCATGGGCTATGACTATACCATTGAATACAAGGCAGGCCCAACCAACAAATTGGCAGATGTGTTATCGCGAGTCCACGAGTTCAACCAACTAACAGTATCTAAACCAGTCTATCCATTGGTGGGCCTTCTCAAACAAGAAGCCCTCTCAGATCCTAAGTTACAGGCCATACATAACAAATGGGCCCAAGACCCAAATTCGGTCCCAAGCTACAAGGTGGTGGGCCCTGATCTCTACTACAAAGGAAGGTTGGTGATTTCAGCCCAGTCAAAGCATCTACAGCAGCTCTTACAGCTCACTCTTTCATGACTCGCCACAAGGTGGCCATTCAGGCATACTATGCACTTATTGTAGAGTTGCAACTCACTACTTTTGGGTGGACATGAAACGAGCAATTTGAAACTATGTGGCAGCCTGTTCCACATGTCAACAGCAGAAATATGAGGCTCAAAACCCCGGGGGGGGGGCCTACTACAACCACTTAAGATCCCCAACATGGTACGGAAAGAAGTCACGATGGACTTCATTTCTGGCTTACCCAATTCTAAGGGGTATATGGTCATCCTAGTGGTCATCGATAGACTATCCAAGTATGGGCATTTTGTGCCTATAGCACACCCATATACAGCCACTAGAGTAGCAGCAGCATTTGTCAAGGAGATCACCAGATTGCATGGCATGCCCACGACTATTATTACAGACCGGGATCCCACCTTTCTCAGCAATTTTTGGAAAGAATATTTTCGACTACAAGGTACCTCGCTCCACATATCAACTAGCTACCATCCACAGACCAACAGACAGACGGAAGTACTTAATCGTTGCATCGAGACCTATCTACAATGCTTTGCCGGAGAAAACCCAAACACATGGGCTCAGTGGCTGCCATGGGCAGATTTTTGGTACAACTCCACAACTCCACGTTCCATAGTGCAGCAGGCATGACTCCTTTTAAAGCCCTATATGGGTGTGACCCTATGAGCCTGGCTCAACAGTAGTGGAGGCGGTAGATCAACAACTATCTGGAAGGGATAATATCATCAACAACCTCATGCGAGCACAATCATGGATGAAGGCCACTTATGATAAAAAACATTAGCGGTGAAATTCCAAGTGGGGGAGCGTGTCTATCTCAAATTACACCCATATAGACAAACCTCTCTGGCCCAGAAGGTTCACAGCCTCCTCGTGGATACACCCAGTTTTCCACGTCTCTCTCATTAAATGATGCATGGGAAACAGCATATCGAGCTCAGCTGTCTTGCCAGAATTTGATGACGCTGGAGTATTGCAACTACAGCCTCGGAACATCCTGAACTATCATTGGATCAAGGTGGGGAAGCAAATCCAACAACAGGCCTTAGTAGAATAGATGGGACTCTACCAGTTCATGATGCCATTTGGAAATCTTGTGCAGTTCTCAAACAGAGGTATCCCCAACTGCACCTTGAGGACGAGGTGGTTCCCATCGGAGGAGGAATTGTTAGGAGCCCAGAACCAGCAGTTTTTATTTTCACTCTCAAAATTGACCAATCAAATCCAAGCAGAGACCATCTGGTGTTCGGGAGAGATGTTCCTGAAGGAATAGATTCAAAATGGAATTTGACCAAGAAATTTGTCTTCCATCAACTTTGAGACAATGACATTTAAAGAGCCGCAAAACAAAGTTGTATATCTAATACTGTTAACAAATCTGTTAACCTTCTCTTAGATGCGATATTTGGGTGGACAACTAGGTAACGGAATGGTTAAGATACCAACGCCACCCCCTTTTCCCAATGAGGAAGTTCTTGGTATAGGAAAATCAGATTATCAGCGTAGTCCAATGAGAATCGTACAAACAGGAGGGATTTACTTTGAAAATAAATTTAAGAAGGCTAAAGATACAATTGAAAGGACTCCACCCGAACTTCCCATCGGCATCTTGAAATAAGGCTGCAAACCCTCATCTCAGCTGTGAATATTTGTGGTACAGCAGTTAACTACCAAATCTCAAATCACAGTTTCAATAGTTGAGAGGTGCTTGATAATAGCTCAATTAATCATCATAGTTAATAACATTAGTGAGACGACTAATGAACCATTGAATGCAACCAAAAGAAGCAACAAATGAATCGTTTTGGCCACACAATGAAATGTTGCGATATGAAATTAAGACCTTACTTTCCGGAGTGAAGAATCATCCTGACGAAGCCAACAAGCGGTGCCGTGTTTTCCAAAATCTGGTCCTCCCAGTCGACCCATCTCTCGTCCTCTTGTTGCTTGTAGCTTTTCTTTCCTTCTCCATCAAGTCCCTCGTCAACATCCGAGGGACTGGACATGCCTCCCTTCTTCGACAATCCATCGCTGTCGTCTAGTGGTGAGATAATAGGCTTTCTCAGCAAATCCGAGCTGAAGGAATCCTGGCTCCTGTCGCTGCCTCCGTCAGGACCAGTTTTTAGGGCATGAACACGTGGATAAAACGAGGAAGCTCGACGGGAGTGAAAATAAAGAATTGAAGACGGGAAATGGAGAGAAATAGAAATAGGGTTTCTGAGATGGTGAATGCGCAGTGCCTGTGTATTGGAGATGGAAAAGGCCATATTCGAGCAGTGGTTTCAACGAGTCTGCTCTAAATGCTTAATCATATCGATCATAAGATTTTTTTCACAGGTTTTGGTACAGAGGTTTTAGCGTTCTTTTCTGTAATCTGTGTGATCAAACCAACTGAGGTGGAAGATAACGGATAATGGCGCAAAATCGCCACCAAAGTAAATTCATAATTGGGACTTGGGAACTTGTTTTCACCGTTTCAGGATAATTCCCGCCAAAGTAACCGTTTAACTATGAGGTAAAGAGGCTGATAGGGCGTTCAGACTTCAGATCATGCTATCGTTCTCGTAGTGGCCATGAGGCTCATGAACAAACCATGATCAGTGTTTTTCACTCAGGGTGGCAGGTCAATGGTTCGATTGGACCGTATAGGGTAAATCTATATGAACCATGGTCAATGGTTCGATTCGACCTAGGGGTATTCACAAGAATAACCAAACCGACCATATCGATCCGATCCAACCCGATCTAGTTTTTTATGAAACATTTGGTCTGTCTCAGTTTATAAATATAAACAACCTGATAGGTCAGGTTGGTTTCGATTTTTTAATCTAAAAACCAAAACTAGCTCAAACCGAACCAACTATGACTAATAGAAGTCTAATATTTCTGGTTTTGAAATAGAAACAATGGAACTGTCTCCATTTTTAAGATTTACACAATTATTTTTACAAATATAGATAATTGAACTCCACTTTTTGGTTTGGGGTAGTATAGACACAACACTCAATAGCCTATATGACTTAGAAAAATATTGTGTTTTACTCAAGCATGCAATGAGTCAAATCATCCAATAAGAGCCATAAACAAAATAGGTAAAGGAAATTGAAATTCAATAAATCATCCTTGATGACCAATTGACCATCCCCAAACTAGCCCGACCAAACTGAAAAACCAACCCAAACCGACCTTTCATGTTTGGGATGGTTTTCCCTTATAACCGATCGGTTTTAGGTTACTTGTTTATCAAATTAACCAGTCGGTTCGATTGAGCAAAAAGGCTACAACCGACCCAATCCGATCCATGAACACCCCTGCTTTGACTACTCCAAAAAAAAGGTTGCAAATTAAAGGGGTGTTTTGATAAAATGAAAACTATGGGATAGGCGTTTAAGCAAATCTGTGAAATTATTGGGGTGTTTGGGATCAATGACGTTCTTTTTTCTCAAAAAAAAAAAAAACGGCACCACATCAGTGCCACGTCAGAAATCCGTTTTATGAGAAAATGCCTACTGTTTGGTAAGTCGTTTTCGCAAGGGGGGACGCTTTCTCAGACCTTGCCTTGAAAATAAGGAAATGTGTGGTATGAGAAAACACCTTTTTGGTGTTTTCCTGTTTTTTTACCATTGCTAGTAATAATAGTGTGCTGATGGGCATTGAAAAAACACCTGTGGCAATAACAACAATGGTACCAAATAGAAAACCTAGTAAAACAGTATTTCTCTTAGCAAACAGCATCGATCCCAAACATATAGATAGTAAATGGCACTTTTTTAATAAACCATACATTTTGCTTTCATTCATAACACGTTACACGTGCCTTAAGTCCTTAACAATTTTTAATGAGATATCTCATTTACCAACTCAAACCCAATATAATTGTGTCAAAATTTAGTATAGGTTGGAGTCGAATTGGATAATTCAGGCTTGACCTTTGACTCGGTCCAAACTCAAGGCTCTAAGCCCAAATCTTCAAATTATGCATGAAATGAGCTAAAACCTAGCCCAACCCACCTGACTTACATTATTTAAATTGTGCATCTCGTCGGTCTCTATTATTTGTCCAAAACAAGTGCAACAAATGACATACAATGATTCGACCATCTGGTTTAGCAAATCCTAAGAATGTAATCATATTGAATCGGATTCAAATTAAGATATAAGGATTATTCGAATTTAATCCAATTTCAAAATAGATCATATTTTGTTGTGATCCAATGTGATTCGAAAATCCAACAGGGGTTTTTCAAATCTAATAAAATTGGATCAGGTTTGAATTCGTATCAGGTCATGATATGATCCATTTGCACCCTCATTGAATCCCTTATTGAGTCAAAGATATTTTGCTAAAAGATGGAATGTATCATGGGCTGGCCAAGCTTCTAGGTATATGACTTTATCTTATAAGATCCACGTACGTGACTTTAAATGCATTATATTAGATATGTGTAATAGTTTTATATCATATGACATGTAATATATGCATGAAATATAAATAATGTATGTATATATATACACTAAGATGGTCCACATCACATTGCTTCTCCTTACTTCATTACCCCAACTTTGCATTCTCCTTGGCTCCCTCTCTTCTCCCCCTTCCCACCACTTCCAATTTCCATTGGGTTCCACCCCCAACTCACTTCTCTCACTTTCTATAGTAACCTAACTTCTCTCCTTAGTTACCTCAATATATGTTTTATCCTCTCATTCACTTCTATATCTAATTCCCCTCCATCTCATATATTTCCCCATAAAAATATGGGGTTTTCCAAATCAAACAATATTTATATCTTGATTTCAAGCAAATAGAGGGGGAATAAGGGGAATTCGATGTTTTTTATATATTCATGACATATTCCATTATTGTTAAACAATTTATTATTAAATAATAATAATGTGTTAATTAATCCATTAATTATGAAATTTATTAAAAATTCACGGAAACATTATACCAAAATTATGAAACCATTTAAGAAATAATAAACTATTTAATAAATATTAAATAATTTAATAATATACCAAAAATTAATAAATAATCAAATATTTAATAATTTCCGGTTATTAATAAATGTTCAAAATTTCAACATTTAGCATCATTTGTATTAATCATTGTAATTTAATAAACTTTCTTTAAATTTTTACAATAATAATTTATTGATAAACAATGTTACTAATTAGCATAATTTACTAATTTCTATAAAATCGATCATTATAGTTAACAATTATCAAATAATTTAGTGAAACTCTTTAATGAAAATACATTCTCCGATACTATTTAAATAATAATTCAGTATCATTATTCAACTAAATAATTATTAAAAAAATATAGGAAATTAATCTATCATAATTTATTTCACAATTATTTAAATAACAATTCATTATCATTTCAATAATTAATTATTAAATAATTTAGAAAATTTATTAAGTCTATCCACGTCGATCTAGACCACTTGGTTGACTTCTATCGTACGTAGTTTTACATTAATTAACAACAAATGATTTACTTTTAATTACAAATAATGTAATTTACCATATTTACATTAATTTACTATAATTACATTTACTTTGATTAATAGTAAATAATTTAGGCTTAAAAAGTAAAAAGTTTACATTAATTTATTGTTATTGTAAATAATTAATTTACTATAGATTGGTACTAATCAATAGAAATTTCAATATTTTTTTGGGAATTTACCATAAAATACTGTGATTTAATTTGCTGCTAGTTAATTAGTTATAGAAAATTATTAGAATTGTCTGGATGACAAATTTCCCTATAAAATAGGGCCCTATTGGTCTACCCCGCCCCACCCCGAATGGGGCAAGTTTTCTCAAATCTTAAATGGGGACATGACAAATATAGGTGGGGACAAGGGAAATATTTTTACCCCAAATTATGAATGGGGTTTGCATATAATTCTCCGAACCCAATGGTAAATTAGTAAAATATTTATAGATTTAATATTGATTTTTAAAATATATCTAAGTTTTTCTCGTATTCTTATAATCATAGGATCCCATGATTTCATTTATAAAATACCCCATATTGTTATAATTAAAATTTTAAAATACCCTCAAATTCCCACAATCCTATACATAAAGTATCCATACAAATTTGCCTTCTTAAGGTAGATAAATGTCTCTCTCCATGTCTAAAAAATTGAATACATTATTCGAATGCTAAATAGAACCAAATTCCTCGCCTTGGATAAGCTTTTGCTTTTGAGTTTGGGTTTATGAAAAATAACTATGAATAAGAAAATGTTCTATCATTTGGTTGGACTTGTTCTTGAAAACACGACAATTTAAAACAAAATTACATTTTTTTGGTGAGCCTCGAATAACAAAGCCTAATGGTCTATTTGGGAAGGTTGGAGCATTGGCTGAGCCATTGAACTGCATTCACTAAGTGGCCATGGAGAAGATACCAGCTTACTAGTAGAAACTTCAAAATGGAAAGCCCTTCTTGTAGGATGAAGAACAACAAAATTGGGAGTCTGGATCTCCTACCAATAAACACGTTCCAACCCCTACCAACATGATCTAACACCGCACATCCCATTCATGGTGGGTCCCAATCTCATGACGAGATGTGTGGTGTTAGATGATGTTGGTAGGGGTTGGGACACTTTTGTTGGTACCAACTCCAAAATTGGGCTATTCTTTCACTAAGATGTGTGGTGTTAGATGAAGTTGGTAGGAGGTTGGAATGTTTTTTGTTCGTACCAACTCCAAAATTGGGCTATTCTTTCATTGAACATTGCTTGTATGATATTTGGGTGAGGCCCTCCTCACAAAGCCAAAAGCCATATGGGAACTTTCAAGTGGACATTAAGGTGGCGTTTGATAAATCTGAAAAGTTAAAAAATGTTAAAAGTGTCTGAAATCTGAAAAGAGCTATGATGCTTTTCTACTTTTTAGATGTTTTGAATAAATAAGGTTGTTTGTGTTGGATCAACCATTCGGCATTTGAAATTCGATGGTTTTACTATTTTACCCCCAAAACAAACTATTTGATAATTTTGAGTTCAATTTGTACTATTTCATATTTAAAAATTTATGAAATTCAAAATAATACGAATAAAAAGTAATAAATAACACATTTAAATTTATTAAAAATAATTGATGACTAATAAAAAATATTAAGTTAATTAATACTTAATAAAAATTAAAATAATTAATAATTAAAAAATAACACAATTAAATTTTAAAAAAATAATTAATGACTAAAAAATCATTATTGAGTAATAAAAATAATTAATAATTAGTAATTTACACAAATAAAACTCAAATAATTTTAAAAAATTACTAATTAATAATTAATAATTAAAAAAATAAAACAATTAAAGTTAATAAAGATAACGAATGAATAATAAAAAATAATTAATCGGTTTTGGGCATTGTTCATCATCGTTCTTGTTGCGAAGGTCGAACAGGGGTGGTGGTATTCCTATTCCCCCTCCTATCTCTAGTTGCTCTCCCTCTAAACTCTCTCTCTCTCTCTCCATCTCTCTCTATGTATTTCCCCTGTCTCCCCTTCATCATCATCATCATCATATTTTTTCTTCTTCTTCTTCTTCTTCTTCTTCTTCTTCTTCCAAACACCCAGATCTGTTGTTCATCTTCTTCCTCTTATCACCGAACAGAGAGTAACGGGGAACTACGGCGGTAGCTCTAGTCAGTTTGCTTCTATCAACCGATCCCAGCAACACCAGTTTGCTCTTCCCGGAATTGCACCTACAAGGGAGGACATTTGAAGCTGAGGCAGATCGGTTTTGGGCACTATTGATCGTCGTTCTCGTTGCGAAGGCCTAACAAGGGTAGCGGTATTCCCCCTATCCTCTCTCTGGTTATTCTCCCTCTAAACTCTCTTTATTTCCCCTCTCTCCCCTTCTTTTTCTTCTTCTTCTTCTTCCAAATGCCCGGATCTATTGTTCGTCTTCTTCCTCTTATCACCGAACAGAGAGTGGCGGGGAATTGCGATAGTATCTCTAGTCAGCTTGCTTCTATTGGCCGATCCCAGCAACATCAGTTTGCTAGCTCTTCCTGAAATCGTACCTGCAAGGGAGGACATTTGAAGTTGAGGCCTATTTGTGTCTTTTAATGCCATAAAAAATGCATCTGACTGCGTTAAGAGGCTGGCCGACCTCTTTCGATTTCATATCTGAAATGGAGTTCCATACCCATATTCAGACCGGACTCCAAACGTGCATAACATCTGAAAAGCAACCTTTCCAAACCTCAAAGATCTGAAAAGAGTTATCAAACGCACATTGGGCCTTTGCATTTTAGGACTTAATTTGAACGAATAGATTCTACAACTTTAGATCAAATCAACCCCCCACAATGTCCCACATCACATCCCTACCCAATACACGGATGGGATGTGCTGTCGGATATTTGGATAAAGGATGAAGCTTGAAGGGCATTTAGTAAACTCCAGTAGCTTATCCATCTCGAGCATTGCATTCACTTGTAGAGTTTTTTTTTTTTTTTTTTGTCGAGAAAGCATTACAATGGGATTTTTAGTATGCAAGACTGCAACGAAGAGGAAAAATTGGTTGATTTTAACGGTTGAACCGATGACCCATAAACAAGAGGCAAAATTGGCTTCATTTCCTGGTCGGTTTTTAAAAACTTGTTGTTGTCTTTTTTTTTTATATTAAAAAAAACTTATTGTTGTCTAATCCCCTTGAAATCTAATAAGACTACAACTCATCACCATTCAGACACATGGCTTTCTCATTTTTTTGGAAAACTAGACAAGTGACATTTTATGAGAAGTTGATGCTGAAACCCACAATCCACTACCATCATTTTCAATTAATTATTAAAAATTGCAAAAAATGCAAAAATGGTTATCCACAACCACTCCTGCCTACATTATATTAGTCTTAGTTAATCATTAACCCTCTACTTATCATAACAAAAGAAAGCTATCTATATTCTATTAATTATTGAAAATCTRTTTTTTGAAATAAATATTTATTGAAATTGTAATAATTGTTTAAAATATTAATAAATATAAATTGAACATTATTGATTCCATAATGTAAATTTAACATTACTGATTCCCCATACTAATACTTAGTATGAGGTCATTCATTAGTATATCTTTAGGCTACAACCCCACCACCATCAATCTAGACATGTGTCATTTTTTGAGAACTTGCTGTTAAAACCCACAACCTATTACCACGATTAAGACAAGTTGCCTTTCTTGTTTTTTTTGAAAAAGTAGACACATAGCAATTTATGAGAAATTCCTGTTAAACCCCACAATCCACGCTACAACCCCCCACCATTTAGACATGTGGCATTCTTATTTTTTCTGGAAAGCTAGACACGTGGCATTTTCAGAGAAATTGATACTAAAGCCCATAGCCCATTACCACCACTAAGTGGCATTGTATTAAACTATTAATTTAAGAAATAGGATTCAAAAAGTGGGTAGTTTCACTCATAAACATTCTCAATAAATAAGTGTTTAAAAAAAAACTTTATTAATTACAAACTTGATTTAACTTTTATGAAGCAAATTAATTTAACTTTTAAAAATAAGTAAATCAAAATAAAATTATCAGATAAATAGTAAATACCAAATAAGGTGGGTTATTGTTTATGAATAATATTTCATTTAATATCTTAAATCAAATTAAAAAACATAAATTAATAATGATTTTCAAATAAAATAGATGATATATTGTCGATTACAAAGATACAATACTCGTATTTTAAAATTTAATTTGTAATAAATAAATAGTAAAATTCAAACCAAATTATACACACATTTTAGTTACCCTTGAGAAAAAATAAAAGTAGGGCTAGTTGAGTTATAAATTAGCGTTTGAGGGAGTTCGGTCAATCCTCACGGTGCATTCACTGGAGAGGACTGATGTATCTTCATCAAGCGATCCCAGGAAAATCTGATAAATACATACGAGTTATCTCCTGCGCATAATTGAAAGCGTGCATTGCTTAGTCCGAGAAGAAGGGATCTGCTTTTGTTTCGCTAATCTCTACATCTCTTTATTTATGTTCATATTTTCTGCGGTAATTATTTCGATCTGTTCAGACCGAGGTGTCCCTGTCTCTCCAGGTAAGCTCTATTTGCATATCAATTTGTTTCTTTTGTTTGTTTGTTTTTTTTGTTTTGTTTTGTTTTTTTTTTTCCAGTTAACTTAAGATGGTTACCAACGTTAATGCCGGCACGCTAAAAGTAATCAATTTCACTTGCTGCAATTTTCTTCTTGTCTGTTTTTGTGATATAGAAAAGCTTAAAATTGGCTAGAAAGTGTTTATTGCTTCTTTATAAACATGCTTCAAATTTCTCGTTTCATGTCATTTACGAAAAATAATACAAATCCAAGTCAGATACCAGGGAAAGTTCTTTTGCCTCATAATCAGGTTATTTGGATTTTTAACTAATATCAGAACCATGAGAGATGGTGAACAACATGAGAATCTTGTTTTCTCGTATTTACTGGTTTTGGAAAATTTGGCATGGAGATTGGAGTTGCTATTGACAAGAGAAAAAACGAAAAGGATCCATGTTTGAAACAAGTCTTTTATTTGGGATGCGGATATTTATGTAGGAGTAATCATCATGGAGAATGGATTAATAAAGTAAATAGGTGTTGTTCCATTAGACCAATTGCAGTACCTCCAACTTCATCCTTTCTTTCTGTTTATATCAGTAAAGATTCTTGGTAAACCGTATAGGAACCCTTACAATGGAGGGAACACAGACGAATTATTCAATGTTGTCGCTCATAGTTATAATTTAATCGTTTCATTCCACAATTCACATGGTAAATGGTCAGAGTCAACCCCAAGCAAAGCAAACTGCAATATTTCTGGGTTTAAATGTTAATTTATGGCTGCTAGTTATATGACCTACTAGCTTTCTGTATTATTGTACAAATAATCTTGCTTCCACTTTCTGTACTTCATTTACATTTTTTTTCCAAATATGAATATTACCTATTGAAAATTCATTTGCTTTAGAGATTTACTGTAATATTCTTCCATGATTCAGTTTGCATTTCAAGTAAGTGGTGTTTTGTATTGAACTATTTTGAGGTGGTAATGAATTCAATCCATTGTTGTCAATGCATCATCACCTAGAGATAAAGAATGGGCGTGACTAGGTGAGATCTTCCTTGGCATGTTGAAGAATGACATTAGTATTGCTTCTTAGGCTGAGGTCTTGGTTTCTATTTATTTTCCTATTAAGCCACTCTTATCTTTCCTCAGTTTATAGAATTAGGGAAAGTATGAGGTCTCTTCATGCGGGTTCTGAATAAAATGTATTTTTGACACAGAAAAGGAGAAGCGGAAAAATAACATAGATGGGCTCTGAAGCCTTGCAAGCTGCTAAGGTGTATCGCCACCTTCTTAAAGCTGTTAGGAAACACATTGGCAAAGAGGAAAACAAAAGGCATTTTAGTGATTTTATAACCCAGGAGTTTCGGAAGAGCTTTGATCTTTCAGACCAATCAGCCGTTCAACAAAAAATAAAACTTGCCCATGATTACACTTTATTGCTCAACAGCGTGCACCATCACAAGGTATGCCTTATTTTTTTTGCCCTGCTCAATGAGAATAATAAGATTATAAGTCCTGTTGTTAGTCAGTGGTTTAGTTAGTTACCCAGATATTTTGGAGTTAAACATGTTACTATGATGAAAATTGAAGTAATAGATTTCAGGTTTCTTTCCTTTATGTGCAGTTTGTAGAATGGTTTCAAGACAGACAACTCTACTTTGTTGTTTGTTGAATATTTGATAGTATATAATTGAGGCTGACAAATATGTGAAAGGAGGAGACTATATACTGACAAATTGGAGAGATTAATCAATTCCTTAGCTCTAACATTGTGAAGCAAGTTCCTAATTAAATTGTGGTATCTGATTACTTTTGTAAAAAATGTATTATGGAAAGCGTTCTACTGAGTTGATAAAATAAAGCGTTCTTTAATCTCTCTCATAAGTTCATTTGCACTGCATGAGTCCAAATTAATATATCATATTACGAGTCTCCTCCAGTTCAATCGCTTAGATTGATGAGACCTTTCTTTTATATCTATCAATGAGATTTCTTTGATTGTTTTTGCTGAAAAAACAATTTCCTGATATCCTTCAGGATGCTAAATGTTCAACGGCACTGCGCCTATGTGCATTAGAAAAGGTGTTGACCATTGTTACAAAATCCTTATTTTCCTTTCTTTTTTCTTTTTTGTTTTTTTTTGGTTTTTGATGAGTAATGAAAAGCTTCATTAGGAAGAATAATAATAATGTTAAATATTCGGGTCCAATAAAAAATTTATAGGGAAGACCACCCTCAAAAGGTAAAGGGGGAGAAGAGAAAAAAGGGAAAAGAAAATAAACAGAAAGTTTCATTGAACCTTTTTTTTTGATAAATGTATATATCTTTATTGCCAAAGGATTAAAACAGTACAAACAACCCTTGGAGAGGCACCAGCTGTGACCCTTCCCAGAACAACAACATGTTATAAACTAAAAAGAAAAGCAGATTACAACTGATCCCAATACAAAATATCCCTGTTTTCCCCTTGTTTGGCTAGACAGTCAAACAACATGTTTCATTGAACCTATTGCTTGAGTAACTTCTTTCTGTGAGGCTGTGACACATGTCCAACCTTAATCTATCATCCTTTGCAAGAGATTCAATCAAGGAATTAGCCTATCTTGATGATCTTTATAATATTGTGTTTGTCCCTGTAGCTAATCATGAGCTTCTGATATATAGTGGGGTATTTTCATGGTCTGTTTTTTGAACTGCTAACTCACTCAATCAAAATTTCTAAACCCCCTTCAATGGATCAATCACCACCCTCTCATATCCCAAGTGACTTTGAATCCTTTTATCAGGACAAAGATCTCAGTCTGAGAGGAATCGCCAGTTATTTTCCTGAGGCTGTTAGAAAAGGCATAAAGAATCATATTCTTGTTACCATGAACACCCAATCATCCTAACCTGTACTACTATTAAAAGTGTGAATGAGAATGTGGAACTTTTGCTTGACTAAAATACCCCAATTGCTAAGAGGAATCGCCAGTTATTTTCCTGAGGCTGTTAGAAAAGGCATAAAGAATCAGATTCTTGTTACCATGAACACCCAATCATCCTAATCTGTACTACTATTAAAAGTGTGAATGAGAATGTGAAACTTTTGCTTGACTAAAATACCCCAATTTTTTGAATTTGGTCCCACTCTAATTGTAAGGATAGAAATGTAACTTGAACAACCACTTTTCTCCTCATTCAAATCCCTCTTATTAAGTCTTATATTTAAGGTATTAACTCCCATTAGCATTCATTGAATCCTATTCTTGACTAGAGTACCCCTATTTTTGAATTTGATACATCTCTAATTGTGAGGGCACAAAATGTAATTTGAATCACTGCATTTCTCCTCATTTAATTCCCTCTCATTAAGTCTTATATGTAGGTATTAATTCTCATTCTTTCATTGAATCCTATATTAATTATCCATATTAAAGAAAAATAAGTGTGACAAAGAATAATTGTTACTCAAGCAATAGGTTCAATGAAACATGTTGTTTGACTGTCTAGCCAAACTATGTTAACTGTAGCCCTTCCCACATTTTGGTGTGTCCTCTTGTATCTCATAACTTCTCCAAAACTATGTTAACTGTAGCCCTTCACAACTCCAACAGTAATAATCACTGTCATCTCTAGGAACAAAGTAACTGATATTCTGATCTCTTTTCTTTCTCCCATTAAGGTGAGAAATGGACCCCTGACCAACTCAGCCTTAAGGTTAGATGAATCAACTGTTTCTGTGGATTGTGATTGCCTGCGAAGCTGTAATTTATGGTGTCCAAAAAATACTGGAGCACGTAAGCCACAGGCATGCTCAGAATACATAAATATATATATATACTAAAGTAGAAAATGCCATGTCAGAGCCTGAGCTTTCTCCCTTACCCCAACCGAGAACTCTCAGCCCCTCTCCATTTTAGCCTTCCTTGCTCCCTCATGAAGCCACCTCATCACTCCCTTCTCCCTCTCATTTTGACATATGCCTAGCCCATCCCTCTTTCCTCTATTTATCCCTTTGCATATCCCTTCTTAAAACTATTCCTAAAATCTCTCTCTAAATTATCTAAATTATCTATAATTTATCTATAATTCCTATTTATCTCTTAAATTATATATAATTCCTAATTATCTTTAATTTAGTAGAGAGTTTCTCTCCTAAATTATCTCTAATTCCTATTTATCCTATCCTCCACTTTTCATCTATATCTATCAAAAGAAAGTTTGAATTAAAAAATTTAAGAATTATTTAAATATTATAATTAAATTATGTAATAACTTTAAAATATTTATCAAAAACACAAAAAATTATCATAGATTTAATAATATTCATATTATTAATAATTTTATACTTTTATCAAATTCATGAGGAAATTGTGTACTAACAATATAAATTATAATTTTATGAATTATTCAATTTAAATATAATTCAAATAATAAAAATTTAAAATAAAAAATATTATTTAAAAATTTCAATAACTAAATATTAAAATAGATAAATACTATACAAAAAAATATTTAATATTATGTAATCACTTTAAAATAAATAAAATTTAAATAATGAGAAATTTTAAGTATTTAAGTAACAAAGTATTTTAAATAACGAAATATTTAACATAACTAAATTTTAAATAGTTAAAATAACGAAATTATGTAATAAACTTAAAATTTTATTAAAAGTAGAAAATCGTTATAACAGATTTCATAATATTTGAATTAATAATAATTTATATTTTACAAAATTAATAACAAAATTATGTAATAATAGTATAACTTATAATTTTATGGGTTATGAAATTCAACAAATAAGTAATATTGAAATAAATAAATAATGATATTATTTAAATAGATAAATAATATTGTAAATAACTAATTTTAAATATTAAAAAAATATTTAAATAAATCATATTTTAAATATTATTTAAAAACAAATAAAATAGGCTAAATAATGAAATTATGTTATAACCTTAAAAATTTTATCAAAAACACAAAAATAATTATAATAGATTTAATAATATTTGATAATAAGAATATAAAATATAAAAAAATTAAATTTTTAAATATTATTGAAATAGTGAAAAATAGATTAAATAATTCAGAGGTATTGAAGCTTTCAAATAATAAAAATAGGTAATAACTTTCACAAAAATGTTTTTAATAGATATTAAAAAATATAATAATTGCAATTACTAATGTACTAATAATAAAAACATTATTTCACTTATATCAATTAATAATTCTGGAAAATAAATTTCAGAAAATTGATATTTATTAATAATAATTTTAAAATCTTAATCTATATTTATTATATATTTATATATACTAAGATTTATATTTATTGTATTTTTAGTAATTAACTATTGTATTTTTTGTGACTGATAAAATTTAGATACAGTGTTCGTATGGTTTCAGATAAGAAGAAGGAGAAGAGGAAGAAGAAGGAGGAGAGAAAGAATAGTTCCAGTCGAACTAGAGAGAAAACTTGTCTTCTCTAGTCGACCAGTCTTTATTTATACTTTTCTAAATAAACATGAATTACTATTATGCCCTCACTTAAGTGAGAGCCACATCAGCTAAACACTTAACATATAACTTCAAATAAAAGGTCTATACTACCCTTCTATAGCCGACTCTAACACTCCCCCTCAAGCTGGTGATTATATGTCATATAATCCCAGTTTGTTACATATGTAGTCCACTCTTCCCCGACTTAACCCTTTGGTAAACAGATCTGCCCATTGATTTCCTGTGTTCACATATGTTGTACTTATCACTCCATTAAGGACCTTCTCACATACAAAGTGGCAATAAACTTCTATATGTTTCGTCCTTTCATGGAACACTGGATTAGAGGAGATATGAACTGTTGCTTGATTATCACAATATAGCTTCATAGGAGTGTCAATCGAGTATCCCATCTATTCTAGGAGATGTTTCATCCATACTAGTTCACATGTTGTGTGTGCCATGGCTCTATATTCAGCCTCTGCATTGCTTCTTGCAACCACTGCCTGCTTTTTACTTTTCCATGTCACTAAGTTCCCACCAAGAAAGGTGCAATACCCTGTAGTGGACCTTCTGTCAGATATGGAACTGGCCCAATCGGCATCCGTGTATCCCTCTATCTCAAGACTTCCTCCACTCTTGTATAACAAACCACGACCCAGAGCTCCCTTCAAATATTGCACAATCCTTAGGACCGCCTCCCAATGTGGAATTCGAGGATTCTGCATAGACTGATTCACTACACTGATTGCAAATGAAATATCAGGTCGAGTGATGGTAAGGTAATTTAGCTTACCCACCAACCTTCTGTACCTTTTCGAATCCTCAAACTCCTCACCTGTATCACTACTCAACTTAACATTCGGTTCCATGGCACCTAACAACCCTATTTCTTCTAGCAGATCAGGAACATATTTCCTCTAGCACATATTAATACCATTCTTCGACCTCGCTACCTCTATCCCTAGGAAGTATCTTA